TGTCACTGGGGATCAGGTAACCTGCTCAAAGAGCTGGTGCTGCATATTGCCAACAGCCTGAGCAGAGGATGGAGATAGAGTGAGAGGAGATAGGGGTGTGAAATTAATTGAACAATTGCATAGTTGGCCATCCTCAGCTGTGTGAACAGTATTCAAGTCATCTTCCTTCTCTCTCTCTCTCTGTTTGTGTGTGTGACACATGCAGGTAATGAGGTTTTGCCTTCATTAAGTGACAACTGAGATCATGTTCCCTGTCTCTGACCCTGCTTTGTTTGGTGGTGAACTGTACCAGCCATTGCATGAATGGTTTCAAAGAGAGGTTATCCTTAAGTTTCCAGGGTTTAGGGAAATGGCAAGAGAATGATCTGGAGCTGAAGAGCAAGCTCTGAATTTCCATGTAGCTCTCCCACAAGGAGGAGAAAGAGTGGCCCGATCTAAAACTAGGCCAGAGGGAGATGCTGCAGTGAGAATTGGCTAACCATGAGTGTGTGAAGTTTGAGGGCAGACTTGAATCATGGAGCTGTGTTGTGGAGCCCAGAAACTGAAAAAAAGACTGGATGTTTTTCATAGAGTTTTGTTAGGAAACTGCACGACCTAGAGAGCATCTGGGTGAAATCACATGTCAGGTTCCTCTAGTAATGCTGAAAAACTGCACCGAGAGTTTATACTTCAGCATGGGGAGAAGCAAGTTTGGGGGGTTCACATGCTGAGAGCACCCAGTTCAGGACCAGGTGGGCTTAGTTGTAGGGATGAAGAAAGTGAACTTTATTCTTTCCCTCGGTCCTTATTCCAGCTACATCCCAGGCTCTGGAAGATACCTCCCAGACAGATGTGGATGGTTCCTTTAGCTGGTTGCTTAGCTCCAAGGATGGGCTGAGGAGCCTGAGGAGCCCCTGGTGTCCTAATCCATGGTCTGCACCAGAGATTCTGAGAGGACAGTTCTTTGTCCTGATGTCCTGAGCTGGGAACCATGCCCAAGAGAGAGGAATCTTCTTGGGAAGTTGCCTGAGCTACTGTGTGTAGGACCTGCTTTGGGAAGCTGTACAGCAGCTCTGTTTGGCCACACCAGTTACTCAGTGACGTCCCATGTTACAAGGGGCAGGAGGGAGCAGGGAGTGAGACTGGGGGGAGCATCAGATCTCTCTCTCAGCGGGGGCTAATGCTCAGCATGAGGCAGCACAGAGGGTGGGAGGTTAGAATTTTGGGGTTCAATGATTAGTTAGCTGTCATAATTAGCTAATTGTGTGGAGATATGCTGTAACAGGAGTGAGCCTGGAAGAGTGAATGGAGAAGGTTGTAGCACTGCTGCTGGGTGCCTGGAAAAAAAGTGTGTGAGTATGTGCAGGAGCCCATGGATGAGAGGAGGAACATTCATAAGAGAAGCAAAAAGGCCCTGGGAGGCTGTTTTGGTATGTGACTGGCAGACAGACATCTCTGGCTCTGGGGCAGTGCTAGGAAAGGTTTTGCTGCTGGTTTCCTCCTGGAAAAATTTTCTGCACTGTGCTGAGCAAGTTTTCCCCCTGGGACTGCTGATAAGGCTTTTTTCCCCCTCCTCCTAGGGCATTTTGATTAGGACTGCTAGGCACTGAAAATGTGGTTAGCAAATTAATGCTCTGAGAGGTTGCACTGCACCATCCTGAACAAGCCAAGGGTGAACAGATCACACCAGTGCTTCAGTACAGATTTTGTCTGAAATGGGATTTTTAAAAGGTTGTTGCCAATACAAGAAAGGACACTGCAGCCTCCTTAAACAGTCCTGTTTTTATGCAGTGACTTGGGGTGTGCATCCTGCAATCCTTCAAGATCTGCTGCTGTGGAAACCTCAGCAAGGGATGTATTAAACCAGGCAGTAGAAAATACCCAATAGCAGCAGGAAGTTCTTGTATAAGTTGCTCTACCTACTTTTAGCAGTGTGGCTGAGATTAAAACAGCAAGAGAGTCTCACATCCATCCGAAATGGACATCTCCCTGCAAGCTGCATGGGAATCTTTCTCCATTCCTGAAATTGGCAGTTTGCCCTTGCTGTCCTGACAACTTCACAGACAGGTCCCTTTCCCCCTGCCATATCAGAGCACACAGTGTTTGCTGGGCTTCTCTTCCAAAAGCACCTGATAAGATATCTGGGGGTGACACACAGGCTCTTGCCTTTCTGGAGAGTGGCTGTGCAGGCTCTGCTGATGTGGGTGGACTTCCATTTGGGTGGGATGGCCTGATGGGAATAAGCCTGGTGGACTCTGACCCTCAGTTATCTCCCAGGGCTGCTCAGTTCCCCTGGAATTTGGACCTTGTTGGCCTTCATTTGGGTCCCAGAGTGCTGTCGATGCCAGAATTAATGTCACAAAACACAATTTGAGGATGTACTGATTGTTATGAGAAATAGAATCGTAGAATCATAGAATTTTAGAGGTTGGAATGGACCTTACAGACCATCTAGTCCCATGGGCAGGGACACCTCCTACCAGAGCAGGTTGCTCAAGACCTCATCCAACCTAGACTCGAACACTGCCAGGGTTGGGGCAGCCACTACTTCCCTGGGCAACCTGTTTCCAGGTGAAAAGTTTCTTCTCTCTGTTTTTTTGGGGGTATTCTGCTTTCCTACAGACAGATGCCATTCAGGAGCACATGGCCAAAGTTGTTTGGTGCCAAAAATGGGGGTGGTAGTACCCACATGAGTGCCATGTGGGTGAAGGTACCCCACTCTGTGACCAGCCTCCCTGTCTTATTCAGGGTGCAGATGGAAGTCACAAATGTCAGAGAGGCTGGTGGTGCTTGTAACATCACTGCTAAATCCTCCCTGGGATGGCTTTGCCTTTTGTTTTCCTTCCTGCAAAGTCCCTTTCTTAAGGCTTCAGAAAATCATAGAAGCATCAAGGCTGGAGGAGACCTCTAAGATCATCCAGTCCAACCATGAACCTGTCACTGCTGCAACCCCCAAACCCTAACCCAGATCCTGCAGTGCCACATCCAGACACCTCTTATGCTTCATGATAGAAGCAACAAGTGTGGGGTGTCCCCATGTTCTGGAGTTGCAGGAACAGAGCTGTACCTTGAGCTATTGACACGTCACAGAGATATTTTGTAGTTTGTGTTGCTCTTTTCGCTCAGCGTTGGCACTTCACAGAGATACTTAGTAGTTTGTGTTGCTCTTTTCGCTCAGCTCTCTCAGGTCTCCACAGGTTGTTAAAAATCAATTATTGGGATATAATACTAGAGAGAAGGCTTAAAGCTCTGTGCTTGCAGGCAGGTTCTGACAATCCTGCTTAAAATAGCAACAACAAAACAATAAGCCCTGAAATAATGAATTGTTGAGAAGGAAGTAGTCTGTCAATCTGTTAACCTACTTAGGAGCAGAAACTTCAGCACTACCTACTCTTCTTGCTATTCCTTTTCTTCAGCAAGTACCTATGGGGGGGGAGTTCTGCTAGAATATTTGTAACAAATATTGTACTACTAAACAAGTTAAAAAGAGATCTCAGCTCAATCTAATTTGATGAGTGAGTTTTCTCGGGAAGAGAATAAACAAGGGTAGGAGGAGATAAGAGGTGGAGTTTTCCAAGTACTATTACTATCTAGAGAATTGCATTCAATGTGTCTTTCATTTGTATTTCAGAAGAATTTCCCACCTGGCTTAGGGACTCACTTTTCAAAGGAAATTTTCATAGAGACAAAACGAATGTAGTTAGACCATTGAGGCTACTGTAGGTAAATCACCACGTGTCAGAGGCTTTTGGTAAGTGGCTTTTGATTTAAGGGCACTAAGGCAACAGTTTTATATCTTACAACTCTGGAGCAACTGACCAAGATTTTGAATCATTTATAGAAGTCAAACTGGTACCATGAGTTCCACCCTCCCATGTCCAATACATAATAATTACTTTTTCTTATGGATAATGTAGGAGTCCTTTTAGTTATTGTGATGTTAAAGTCAGGCTTGGGAAGTTCATCATCTTTACTAGCACTTGGCAGCTCAGGGAAGATGTCAAAATTTAGACCTACAGAAAGAATGAGAAAACTAATGTTAGCATGGGATAAAAAAATTCCCAACAATTGACATTTGTATTTTAGTGTGAGTGAACACAGGTCCTTGGTCCTTTCCTTTATCCCAAAGCAAAAGAGGATGGAGAGAGCAGCAGCAGTACCTAGTACAGTAGATGAGCAGTGCAGCAGTAACTGGTGTATGATCCAAGCTGGCACTAACTAGTGAAGCTTGAAGGAATTAATTGGTTATATATGGGCCTTGCATGTGCTGAGTCAGTGGCTGTCCCTGTCTGTCTACATCACTGCTCTGACTTAACCACTCACAGCAATGACATTTACACCAGTATCCTAATGCTAATCCAGAGGGGGAAAATGCTGAAAACCATAAACAGGTTTTCATTTTCACCAGGATGTTTTGGCTGTCCTGTTCAGGGGTGCATCAGCCAGAGTTCAGGGCAGGAGAGTCTGCAGTGGTGGTAGAAGGTGACAGCTGATTTGTTGTGTGGTGGAAAATGAGTTTCTGCTGCTGGTGTAGAAATGCAGGGATATAGTAATTAGAATCATAGAAGCATCAAGGTTGGAGGAGACATCTAAGATGATCGAGTCCAACCATTGACCTGTCACTGCTGGAACCCCCAAACCCTAAAAGATATTGCAACATTTCTCCAAATATCCAATCTGACTCTGCCCTGGCTCAGCTCAAGGCCATTCCCTCTCTCCTCTCCCTGCAGCCCTGGCAGGACACACATCCCACACCTCTCTCCAGCCCTGGCAGGGAGTTGTAGAGTAATTGTTGTGCAGTTGAGCTGATAGGGAAGATGTTAAGGACATGGAACTGTTGGAGCAAGTGCAGAGGAGGCCACGAAGCTGCTCAGAGCACTGGAGCATCTCCCTGTGAGCACAGGCTGAGGGAGTTGGGGCTGTTGAGCCTGGAGAAGAGAAGGTTGTGTGGAGAGCTCAGAGCACCTTGCAGGAGCTGAAGGGGCTCCAGGGAAGCTGCAGA